TATCTTGGCCGTTGTTGACAACCAGCTACCGCCAAAAATTTGGTCGTCAAAGGCTAGATCGGCACACTAATAGCCAGATCCAGCCTATAGTATGCCATTACGCTAGATTCCAGCTACCTTTCGATTGTGGTGGCCATAATCTGGCCAATGTGGGTGGATGGGGGTGTTTTTGTCAATTTCTAAACTTTTTTGGGTGTTTAGTTAAATTAACAAACCTAGGGATTTAAAAATAGTTGAATAAAATAGAATAGAATTTTCAAAATAAGGAACAAATATATATTTTGGGTAGGATAGGGATAGGATAGTATAGAAATATTAAAACAAACACAGAATTATTGTTGGACTTCATCCCGTATAAGGGGTAGCTAAAATTAGATAAATGAAAATTTACAGGCTTCTTTTGACCTTAGTTACATCAGTTTTCCAAAACTTTCCTTTTTATCCTAAACCAAGTCTAATTTTTTTTTTTTTTTTACTAGGCCAACATATATCTCTAATCAATAATGCTAGTTCTACAATATTCACTCACAATCCCTAATGTCACAACTTGTCATTGGTTAACTCGCAAATGGATAGGAAAGACCCATACAAGTAGGCGAGACCCATTTTGTAAGCTAACTAATGACAAGTTACCACGTTGAAGGTTGTGAAATTAGGTTGTAGACGTAGCATTACTCATATCTAATTCCTATATTGTATGGTTTTATTTATGTTGACCAAACATCGCCTTAATATTTAATAATTAAAATGAAAGATAATTAATCGAACATATTAATCATGGAATTTTTGGCGGAAAATAAATCATAAAATAAATTAAAAACATAAATATAATGAAAGAAGTACTGCAAGTGAACCTGAAAATATAGTTGAGAGGTCCAGAGAGCTCCTTCCTCTTCAAAATTACAGCTCACGGATATTTCTTTTCTTACTATGTGCTATCTTTCTCCCTCTCTCTATGATAATGAGTTTTCTCTCTTCTGTAATTTCAGGTGTTGATCTTGAAATTCATGCATGCCTCCTCTTTTGTCCACATTTCAATCCTAAATTAATAAGGAAAGACTATAGGATTTCTTTATACATACGTCTGGGGTAATCCTCCAATGAAAGTAATGCTAAATTCTTTTCTTGGGTCGTTCAATTACCCCAGGATTAATAATGAACTTCAACAATCCAAATTCCTCTCTCTAATACAAGTAATGCTAAATTCTTTTCTTAGGTTGTTCACTTATCCAAGGAATAATAATAAACTTTAATATTAAGTTGTCATCTTTTCTAAAAGCTTAAACTAATAGGTGCTCAACATATATTAGACTAATAGGCCTCTCACATCAAACTTGAATTTTTCATTTTTTTTTTTTTTATTCTAATTTGTATGTAGGGATTCGAATTTGAGATATTTGACTCTAATACGATATTAAATTGCTATCCTATCTAAAAACTTAAGCTAGTAGGCAAGGGCTTAACATTTATTAGACCAATATTCAACAATCCAAATTCCTCTCCCTAATACACCCTTTCATAAATTATTTAATCATTTAATCCACCATGCCTCACTTTTGGGTAATTTTTCAATGGAGCAGTTCTCATCAAATCAGTAAAATGTTTCACTAACATCTTGTCATGTTATCGTGCATGTCATCTCTAGAAAAGTTGTAAGAAAGATTCATGAAGGTAGGATCATTAGGGGTAGCAAAAGCTATCTTGTTTAAATTCTCCAACGAAGTACATAAGCGGATTTTCGAGTAACAACAAATCATAGTATTAATTTATCAACTCCCAACTATAATGTCACGGCTCCCAGGGATGTGTTAGTTAAAGATCTTATCCATCTCCCTCTCTCTTCAATAATATGTTCTCTTCTGTAGCTTCCACTATTTGTCTTACTATGTGTTATATATATACAAGCTTATCTTTATATTGGATTATATAATTAATCATGTAATTTTTCTTTTCAATTTAACAATTAAACAAAGACTATACTTAAGTCAACCACCAGGCTTATATTGTCACATATAAGCTTCCCAGCTTGTATTATGCACGTATTTCCTATTTCAATATGCTAATCGAACAACACAGAAAAAACTAATTAAAGTCGGTGTAAATAATTTAATTGGGGTTTACCGTTTACTATTTAATACAAAAACTATATAAACTTATTATAAATGCAAATTCGGTGGGTTTACGGAATAAAATATGATTACCTAGAGAGAGTATCCATGCATATTGTAACATCTAGTGATTATTTACATGCTTCCTTCTCAGCTTACATAATTCCTATTTAACAAATTATAATTGACCGACCGTTGACCCGTCAACGATTGCTGATTGACTCTTGCTAATAACTAATACTATTATAATCATTTTTAAATATTTATTAAATATTTACTACAAGACAAATTTGTGTGAAGGAAAATTGGTATTTTGACTAATTACTTAGGCTTAAAATGCAAAAATTAATATAAAAATGTGAAAACTTGATTAAAAATACAAAAATTAGATTAAACATACATATTAAAAAATATGGATGGAATAATCCATAATCCAATCCATTATCCACAAAAATCTAATCCAATCCAATTCATCCTCATATTTTAAAATTGCATTGAATTAGATTAGATAGAAATTCATGTGGATTGGATCGGATTGGATAGGATCCAATCCACCATTTTTGCCATCCATAGTTTTACATAGCAAGCATTTTACATTATTGAGACAAGCTGCTTCACTACAAAATCACATTACAATCACACAACTTGCAAATATAAATTACATAAACAGAACTTGCAAAATAGAACATATGGTTATAACTTGCAAATATAAATTACATAAACAGAACTTGCAAAATAGAACACATGGTTTGTATGATAGTGAGTAATAGGAGTACAACTGCTGCAACCGTTGTACCTCTCCAAAGATTGTTGAAATATACTCTTTCCAAAGTTGCTTTCGTTCTATTCCATAGATTGTTACAGTGTCCCTTGAGTTCCTCACATATGTCATAACAGGAGGATTTGCTAGGACTGATAAATCTTTGGCTTTGTAAGTAAACTAAAAAATATACAAAAGTAGATTAACTTCATTCTAGACTTGGTCCCATGGATGTAGACACTTTGTCGAATCATGTAAAAATCTGGTGTTCTTTACCTTGGTTCATTTTGATTGCTTTATGTTTATGATAACTGAATTCTCAATCAACTTAATAGCCCATTCCGCTTAGGTTTAATTCACCCGGTAAAAGAATTTAAATTTTCAATATTTTATAAATATAAAATTTGTATTTATTTTAATTTTGAATTGTTTTGTTCTTTCAAACTTTGACCTCGCTATATTTCATTTATGGCTACGTCGTTGCTTAAATTCATAGTAAAATTTGTTCAAATCTCTCAAACACCATAATAAGTCACCAAAAGCTATAGTTTTATCATAGAACTAGATGGCAAGCGTGAGTGTTGTAGGGATATGTTTATTGAATGTTTTTTAAACAGTTTGTAAACAGTTTTTTTAGTAATGACATAAACCAATTATATTAAGCCATAACAATTGCTAAACATATTTTTTTCATAGGAAATATTATGGGAGCTGTTGGATTCGGTAAAGATTAAAAGCGAAAGCAAAATAAAGTAGGATATAGTGAATCAGTTAGTAAGTTGAATATTCGGTATTGAGAAACTTTAAGTGTGAAATATTTAATATATTTTGATTGTAAAGGAAATGTGTACATTGGTTTTTCTTGCTATCAATCAGATTTTGATGACGTAGATGGGGTTCTTTTTTGTTTTCCTTAACATATTCAATTCCTCTGTAGCAACTGAATAAATGCATACCCTTAACAATGAATTATCTTAAAATTTAAAACACTTTAAAGGAAATTCATTAAAGGACAAACCCCAAGTGAAAAGTGACCCATCTGAGTCACTTTTCACTTGATAACTATTCAGTTGATGATTCCTTCGCCAATATACACACCCTGATCCCAAAGCAACCATGAGATCTATCTGCAAAAATTGACATCAAATAAGATCTATTAATCACCAGTCACAGCAATTAACCATATACAATAACCCAATAAACAGATTGAATAGAGTGAGAGAATGCCAATTAATTGTCAGCTTTGCTGCGTGCATGAATGAGTAAACTATCACCGGTCCAACAAATTGGAACCCCTCCTTCAATAAATCCTTGCTGATGGCTTCAACTTTTGGAGTCCTTAAGGGAACATTTCTTGAGTATCTGTATTTGTTAATCACTGGTTTGTAATTTACATTAACCCCACATAAAGCTACTGAAGGACCGGAATTCGTTCATAGTCTGCATTTGGACAATGAGGTTAAGTGAGCAACTAATGAGCACTGCAATTAAAAGAGATTGCAGAAAAAGCAAATATATACCGAGGAATTGAATATTCAAACTTACTTTCATTATGCATTTGGCATTGTCTAGTATGCACCTCACTCTGCTCTCTGCCAACATTATTGCCTTGTCTGATAATATCTTATTGCCTTGTCTGATAATATCTCTAAGATTCCTTTCTCCCCCTTTTCGCAACAGCCTTAGGATCAAATCCCGCAAAAACTTCTCTATGTTATCGACCAAATGTTTAGATTTAAGATGAAGGTATCTTGAAATATGTAAATTTTAGTTACATTTGAGTAGTGCAAAAGCAGTAGTACCCGAATAATTCTTTTCTTTTCAAGATTTCAATCCAGTTGTAATCCATCACCACATCACACAATGCAAGTAGCTCGAACAGTTTGACTGTTTGATGATAATTTACCATTTAAAAGTTGGCACTTATTTTTTCATAATTTATATATTCATTGGATTAAATATTACAGCTGACTGACTTGTCATCATAAACTGGAAATCCCCAGGATTCATCATGAAATGCAACATAAACTTTATCTGTATTAAACATTATGTCAATCTCATACAGTTTTTTATTAAAAAAAAAAAAAAAAAAAAACTATATCTTTGTTAGTATATACTAATGTCCTCAATTAAGAAGCAATGTACATCTGAAATGTGTAAAGTAGGCGAAGATGTTGATGTTTAATCTGGTTAATTAATGACAGTTTCAAGAATATCCGGATTCAGACTATAAACACAGTTTAACATGCAGTATAGTTGTATCAGGAAGGCTTTATTGTAAATTTTTTTTATCAACATTTAGTAAATAAAATATACATTTTTATCATTATCAACTACCATAATAAGTCATGATTGAGAAGGAGTAGGGAAACTAGAATGCGAAAAAAAAACATAAAACCTTCTAAACAACTATTCAGTTCATGATTCCTTCGCCACTGTACACACCCTGATCCCAAAGCAACTCTGAGATCTATCTGCAAAAATTGACATCAAATGAGATCCATTAATCACCAGTCACAGCAATTAAACATACACAATAACCCAATAAACAAATTGCATACAGTGAGAGAATACCTAAGATCTGGATTCCTGCTCAGCCTCATCATGCACCTCAGAAGTGGATTTCCCAGAGTCCTCAAGCTTTTCATCAGTCCCACCGCCATCCAAATTCAAAACCCAAAACGGAAATTAGAAAAAAGAAATATCATGAAAAAAAAAAAAAGAGAAATAAATCTGAACTTGCCACAATTAAACATTAAACAAAAAGAATAAATATGAAGACACTTGAAGGAAGAGCATTGAGCAAGTTAGCACCAGCAGGGCAGCCAAAGAGCAAAATCCACTCAACCTCTCAAACTCGCCACAAATGCTAAAACTGCCGCTGACTTTCCCGGTGGTGGTGCAGACGGCAGCTTCAAGATTGAAAGCGGAGGAATCAGATTCTTGAGAAAAGGTGTAAGAGTTCCAATCAGCCAGCAGAGACGAAGGCTTTTGTCAGTGGTTGTTTGAGTTGGCAGGGCTTAGACCTTCGATGAACCATGGTTGTGCCGTCTTCTGCATTTGTATCAAGCATTGTGATTGTGAGATTGACTGTCAGAGATGGATCTATACACTGCAAGCAGGTTTATGTAAACTCCCACACCCAAATTACTGAAAACATAAATTCAACCATCATTAACATCATATGAAGTTTGTGAGATCTGATGATAAAATTAAGCATCTCAAACCAATGTTCACATCTAAATTATCAAATTAAAAACTACTGGTTCGTTAAAAGAAACCCAATTGAAGTTCATTTCCTTTTTCTAGTATCTCTTATCATTACCAAAAATAAATAAATAAATAATAATGCAAATGAATAAAGAAGAAGAAGAGAAACACTAAAGTAATACCTCTGTAATTGCATTTTCTAAGAAGAGCAGAGATAATATGATGTGTAAAATCATCTGCTTCTACCAATAGAACTCTAAGAACCATCCTCGACAGAAATCTTTCCCACCTAACCACCTCGGACGAGCCATCCTTCTTACTGTCGTTCTTCTCTGCCTCCAACTCCATTTCCATTGCTTCTTCAACGCTCAAAACCACTTCACCCATTCTCATAAACCCTGCTTTTCACCACAAGACAAACACAAATACTAAAAACAATGACCCTAATTTCTTGGTAAAAATAACCATAGAAGCAAATGAATAAAAGGAAAGTGTTTTGTAAATAGAGTTCAGCAAATGTTCTCTCCAACGTCTCTCTTAGTAACCAACAAAAACTAAACTATATCGCACAGTTAAAATCACATTTGGAGTAAAAATGAGTACAGAAAGAAAACGCACCGTTTAGATCGACCGACCTTGGGCTCTTCGTTGATGGCGGAGGTGAGATCAGAGAGGAGATCGACGCATAGGAGAGGGTCAGGCGATTGTTGCGATGCAGAGGTGACTATAGACTCTAGCTGCGCCACCAATACGCCGAATCGCAAGACCAGAGTGGAAGAATCGAGAGGTCACCAGCAAGTGTCGGCAGTCGGACGACGGTGACGGAATCTGGAGGTGATTGTGGTGTCGCATGGAGGAGGTGATAGAGCGGCGGCGTGTGAGATGGAGAGTGTATAAAGCGACAGAGGTGTGATTGTAAGAGCCTAGTTGCCATTCGTGGGGAGAGATCAGACATTTTGATTATATTTGAGCAGTTAAATCCATTGGGTGAGTTTAATCTCAGAGATGAGACAGAGAAAGAGAATTGTGTAATCAAGAAATGTTTGGATTGATATGAACTTTTGGAATAATTGCATTAATATCTCATTAAACCACAACTTTCGGAATAACAATACAATGCATTAATATATCTTTAAACCAATATCCTACATGTCACTCAGCCAAGATATGCTTCAGGATCCTACACGATGAGCAATATCCTGCTGAAATCTTATGTGGAATACTGGAATCCCACATGAAGTCCAATTTACGATCAAGGATGGGCTTCAGAGTATATAGATAGATATATAGACCGATTAATTTAATAGCAGCAGTTTGACAAAGGAGACGTTAGGCTTGGGGCGGCGTAGCCACACCGGGCCCCACAAAAAATCTTGGAAATTTTATAAAAATCTAATTTAACCCCTATAAATATAGTTATTTATCTAGCCACCTGTAATTTTTGAAGGAAACACTTTAGCTCCAGTAAATGTAGCTTTCTGGCCTCGTTATTCATTAAAGATAACATTTTGGTCCCCTCAGAAAAATTTTCTAGCTCTGCCCCTGTTATAGAAGAAAAATAATGAAGTACATAGCAAACATTTTAAGTATTAAGACAACAAGCTTCAATACAAAATTACATAACAATCACACAACTTGCAACTATAAATTACATAAACACAACTTGCAAGATAGAACACATGGTTTGTATGATAGTGAGCAGTAGGAGTAAAACTGCCGCAACAGTTGCCGTGCCTCTCCAAAGATTGTTGAAATATACTCTTTTCAAAGTTGATTTTGTTCTGTTCCATGGATTGTCACAGTGTTGCTTGAGTTTGACACAAATGTCATAGTAAGAGGATTTGCTTAAATTGATAGAAACAGAAAGTCTGTTAAACATATTTGCTATTGAATCATTGTCGCCCATCTGATTGGAAATAATTCCATTTCCAACAAGCAAATCCACATCTTTTTCAGTATTAATAAGATAATCCATTAGTCTAACGTAATTGCAAACATGAGCATCCCTTGGATAATGACACTGTTCCAAAGCCATAACGTTTCTAAGTAGACTTTCACTGTCATCACATATACCTAAACGTGGTAGTTGTAACTCATATACTTCAAAACATGGGATTCGTTGCTTTCGTTTTTCCAATATTATGTCAATTAAGCTGTGTTCTCCTTCAAGACACTTAAACTTCACTCCTGACTCATGCAACTGCACTGCACAAGGCAAATCATCAATCCATCCATTCATCTGCTTAGATCTTTCGTAGTGTTCCAGCATAGTAGTTCTTCTCCAATCGGTTAAATGTTTAACTACCACCTGGGGTGTTAATCTCCTCAATTCCAAACCTTGGAAACAATCGAAAAAAGAACGTGAAAGCTCCATAAAGGTAGGCATGTTAAGGCTACCGAGAGGTAACTTACATATTCCCTCGAGGACGAAGTATGGAAGTTGATTTTCGAGTAATTGAAAGTCCCTACATAAAGATGCGTGAAGTGTTGTTGTAGATAGTAAAAAATCACTTTCACGGCCATAATTGGTTTGATACCTTAAAAATAACTCTATGATAAAGATAGCATCATATAGAATCATCATTACATACTCAATGCTCCCAAGTTTAGACGTCTCTGCATAACAATTACGGACACTTTTCTCGCTATCCTTGATGAAGTTTAAAACTTTATCTCGATTCTCTGTTGTTATTCGTTCAAGAAAACTTTTCATATATTTTCTTTTTGTCTTTTCCATGTTACCTAATTCTTCTTTTCCATGGTGAAGAGGACCTATTGAAACTAATTGAGGAGTGTAAGCTTCTTCATTTACGCTACGAAGATCTTTAGGAACCCTATAAATACAACACTGACGAGCATCAAGCTCAGGCTCCAATGTTTTGTCAATGTCAATTTGCAACTCTTTGACCAAATCCTCAAGTTTAAGAAAATCACTCATCTCCAACTTCTTTGCCCTATTGACAAACTGACAGTAGTCAATTAATAACAATAAATAGATAAATGCATCACTCAAAATAATCAAGAAAATCATGTTGCATGCATGAGGTAATTATTTCCATAAATAGCTTTAAGAATAATATGCAATCTGTCATAAATCACGAATAAATATTTTATATCAATATCATTTGCAAAGATTTAAATTAAAAATATGTGGGTAGAGATTCCTGGGACGAATCCCCTTACATAGAATGTTGGAATTGGGAAGAATTGACTGTTATATTTGTAACGGTAATATAGAATAACTGTCATACCAAAGGCTTGAAAAAGGAACAAATTGCATGTTATAATCCAAAGTAATACTATGCATTTAATTAAGACGAAGGTACAATTAGCTAACGCATATCCATTGTATTATATATATATTGTTGATGCTAGGATTACGCACCAACGAATTCTCATGTGCATAACGTTGATTGGCCGTTAAATACACGTGAAAATGGAATATATAAAGCGAAATAAATGCAAAGGGAGTTTTTTAAGTGGTTCGGATGCTAAGGTAGCAAATCCTACGTCCACTGATTTGTATTGATGTTAGTGTGGGTCAGGTCGCGACTGCGGGCTGACTTACATAAGTTGAAAAAGTGAAAATGTTTACAGGAGAGAGAGAGATTTCTTTTTATGAAAAATGGCCGAATCCCCTTAATGAAGGGGTCTTCCTCATTTTATATCAAACTGAAGCGTGTAATCATCATTAAATCCGTGGTTTGGTGTGATTGTCAGGATTTAATTCGGCTTTATGTCCCATTTTCCCTTCCCCAGGCTGACTTCGCACGACTTATTGCAGGGAAATGGACGCGTGTGAGCTCCATATCATTTGGCAGGTCTGACGTGTGCGTATTGCTCTGACGGGAGCAGGTCAGCCTTCACGTGACTTTCCCACGTCAGCCCTGTATTTTCCCGGGCATAACAGAAGCCCCCTAGTTTTTAAGGTTCGAGGATTGGACCTTGGAAATTAAGCCACATAGGAGCTTTTGGTCGCTCCGACCTGAACGGGATGAGCTCGGCACAGAACTCCTGGCGAACACGATCTCGCGCAATTCCTTGCCAGAGCGACCTGACAATCTTCACCTTAGCGACCTGGATCTGAGGGGCGCTCCTCTTTGTACAGATTCAATGAACCTGGTTTTACGCTGTCAGGCGATCTGCACGCGTTAAAGCTTTTGTCAGGCACATTAAATGCACCGCGTGCTGAGCTGACTCCGTTTGACAGCATTAGTGGTGCAGCGCGATCGAAACAACGACCATTATCACGTCATTTAATGCGACGTGGGGCGCATTTAATGCGGGGAGAGAGAGTGGGTTGTCGTTTCAGTTCCAATGGGTGGTAACCGTCGATTCGCAATCCATATATAAAAACTTGCATTTTTCTGATGAGGTCACTGAAATTTCTTTCGCTTCGAGTGACAAACCTTTACACACCAGGAATGATTTTCTTCCGATCGGCGCTTTTCAGGCAACCGAAACGAGTTTCGGCCTCAGCTTCGCATCCCAGAGAGTAAGGTTTTTCTTTTCCCCCCTTTTGTTTTGTTTTGTTTTTGTTTTTTGCACTGGTTTGGTTGGATAATGGCGTTGGGTCTCCCGGTGTTTCACTGGAGACGCGACGCCGCCATTGGATTCGAGCCGTGGATGGCGGCTTGAGTCACTTGTAGATTTTAAGATGTCCCCTGCCACTACGCGGGACGAACACGAAGGCCCTAATGACCGTGTCTGTCGATGTTGCAGACTGGAATGGAACCGTCAACATCCAGACCCGAGGAAGGAGCTAGCTCGTCCTCGCGGGAAGTTCCCGAGGACGCAGCCCTCGATGTCTATTCAGTTCTCACTTCCGAGGAATATAATAGAATAAAGACGCAGTTCGATATTCGCGCGGAGGTGTTCCTCGACCACACCAGACCGTCACGGCGCCCGGCCGATGGCCTTGCTGCGATCTCTGAAGAGATCTTCAAGGGTGGAGGGAGGATTCCCTTCCATCCTTTCATCAGGTCGGTCTTGGATCATTTCGGGATCGCACCAATGCATTTGACGCCAAACGCGTATGTCATCGCTGTCGCGATGTACATCGCGTGCTGCGAGAGCGGCTTGGGAGAGCCAACGGCGGTGGAGCTTGGTGTCGCCTACTACCTTAAGAAGAGTAGGGACAAGGACTCGTACTATTTGTCTCGGCGACCTACCATTGTCGCGGGGATACACAGCTATCCCAGCAATGCGGGGGCCTACGAGACAAAGTTCTTCTTTTTCTTTTACAACGGCTACTGCCGTTTTCAAAATCCAAGTAGGTTTTCTCTCGCTGGGGTCATTATCTGTTCGCCTGATCCATAATAACGACTTGCTTTGTTTTGCAGTTAATAGAACGACCGAGCAGGCGCTACTCACTGACCCAGACAGGCTTGTATCCTTCGGAGTACTGGACGAGGATAGTCGCGACGCGAGGAAGCTTGTGACGACCGTGAACTTGCGGAAGTACGGTTTTTTCAGCGACAAGGCGTCGTTAGAACCCCCAAAAGGTAAGTTATATCGATTCCTTTCTGGTCGTAGAATAAGTTTGCTTACTAACGAACTTAAATGCAGAAACGATGCCCCCAAAGGAGTCCGGGCAGCCCCGCCGAGCACCCTTTGTCTTCCCTCGATCGAGGAGTGAGAGGGCGACCGAAGCTGCTCGTCTTGTCCTGGCACAGCCAGTGCGAACAGTCCCGGCTTCCCAGCCCTGTCCTGTGCAAGGAGCGACCCGGATGGAACAGGCCGCTCGGGCGCTAACTGCTCGCTCAAAGCGGAAGGCTCCGGCCCAGAGGTCAAAGAAGAGGAAGCAGATTCAGCCCGAGGAGTCGGAGACTGAATCTGAGGGAGAGCCTCTGAGGTCGCGCCAGGGATCCCGGAGGTCGGGCAAGGAGCCTGTGAGCTAGGCGGTTATTGGTGATAAGGCGAAGGACGCGCCTGTTCTAGACTCATTGGGGAGTCTGCCCGAGTACCTGCAGCCGATTGTCTATGGCCTGCTCGAGTGCGAGCTATCGGAGTCCTACGACGAGTTCGCCGACACGGGCGATGACCTGATGACCAGGTCGTTCCAGCATCTGAGCAAGGTAAATGAGCTGTGTTTAAAACTTCATTCTGATTTATTTCTAACTCATCTTGCTCGCAGGGGTTGCTTGCGATGGGGATGGCCATGGAAAACATGCGGTTGGGGGAAGCGAAGGGGACAAGCGACCTGGAGGAGGAGGTCGCGAAGCTAAAGCAGAGCTTGGAGTCCGTCGAAGCTGAAAGAACACAGGCGTTCGAAGCGGCAAACAGGTATCTGAACCAAAAGGATGCCGCTTNGTTGCGCCAGGGATCCTGGAGGTCGGGCAAGGAGCCCGCGAGCGAGGCGGTTACCGGTGATAAGGCGAAGGACGCGCCTGTTCTAGACTCATTGGGGAGTCTGCCCGAGTACCTACAGCCGATTGTCTATGGCCTGCTCGAGTGCGAGCTATCGGAGTCCTACGACGAGTTCGCCGACACGGGCGACGACCTGATGACCAGGTCGTTCCAGCATCTGAGCAAGGTAAATGAGTTGTGTTTAAAACTTCATTCTGATTTATTTCTAACTCATCTTGCTCGCAGGGGTTGCTTGCGATGAGGATGGCCATGGAAAACACGCAGTTGGGGGAAGCGAAGGGGACAAGCCACCTGGAGGAGGAGGTCGCGAAGCTAAAACAGAACTTGGAGTCCGTCGAAGCTGAAAGAACACAAGCGTTCGAAGCGGCGAACAGGTATCTGAACCAAAAGGACGCCGCTTTACGAACGGTGGATTTCCAAAAAACGGAGCTCAACCGACGTGCGGAGGAGATCAAAGAGCTTCAAAGGACCACCGCCTGGCTATCCAAGGAGGTCGGAGAAAAGGACCAGGAGATGCGGGCGACCTTCGAACGGGCTCAGCGAGCTGAAGAAGACAAAGGGGCCTCCGAACAGGAAAGGCTAGCTCTTGAGGCCGAGCTTCAGGAGAGTCGGGAGAGAGTCGCTTCTCTGACTGTAGAAATACAGAATCAGTCTGAGGAGATGGAGGAGAAGGCCGCGGACTGGGCAGTCGGGTCCATCTACACCCTGCGAGCAAGGAACCCTGCCTTGGACTTCTCCGACCTCCCGGAGGTTTGGCAGGCGACCTTGCGGATCATGGCCAAGGAGGACGACCAGGCTACCGCGGCCGCCCAGGGACCCGACCAGACAGGTGGCTCTTGCTCGAAGGATCTTCCCGACTAGCCTTAGCGTTAACAGTCATTCTCATTATACTCGAGTCTTGACTTTTTGTATATAAATGAAGACATTTTCTTTACAATTGCAGTTCGTTTTCTCATAAATATGCACTATTTACAACTGTGATTTACATGAGCGATTACATATAAATTCTTACACGCGAACAGAACACATGCGAACTGTTTTAAGCGAACAGAGTAATACTTTGAAAAAGAAATTAACAAAAACTGAGAGCTGAGTTCAGGATTACTGATAGTATGGCCGGAGGTGCTCGGCATTCCAAGCTCGGGGTACCTTGGAGCCGTTCAATCTTTTGAGATGGTAGGTCCCCGGTCTGATCATTTTGTCGACCCGGTACGGACCTTCCCAGTTAGGCCCTAGTTCCCCCGCACTTGGCTCTCTGGTCCCGAGGAGAACTTCCTTTAGCACCAGGTCTCCGACCTGGAAGTCTCTGAGCTGCCCTTTGAGTCGAAGAACCTTTTTGCTCGCTGCTGGTAGGCTGCTATCCTTAGCGAAGCCTTGCTGCGATGCCTCTCAATTAGATCCAAACTTGCTTCAGAAGTACCGTTGTCGTCCTCGTTGTACAGGTCCTCCGAAGAGAACCGGTCCCGACTCTACAGGGATCATCGCTTCGCAGCCTAGGCAGCAAAATGGGTTTCGAGGTGAAGGTCCTTGGAGTTGTCCTGTACGCCCATAAGACTTCGGGGAGATTGT